AAGCTTATCAGCAGTTAAATATGCTGTGGGCTCAAGTGATGCTAAACAGACACACTGATGTGTTGCAGAAGATCCAGTTACCCCAGTTCCACAGCACTGAAAGGAAGTAATGCAGGGAGGAAATGAACTAATAGACTGAAATTAAGTCAAGCCATTCATCCTCTGATAAGGGGCCAGGACACAAGTGAAATGCAGGTCTCTGCAAGTATGTGGGTGCCTGCTATGATGAAGGCCAAAGATGGGCTGCTGCATAGGCTCTTGCAATTTAATTAAGGCAGGTAAAGCCCTTGCAGCTAATGTCAGCTCTGTGGATATCCATCATAGGTGTGTGCAAGAGGACCTGCTGCCTGTGACACACAGTCAGATAGTTTCAGTGGCTCTTGAACAGACAGGATCAAAGATGAGCTTAGATGCATCGGTAGTTTGAAATACTTCACAATAGATGCTGGCAGCAGTACTCAGGGACATTCCTGTCCCTCCGGCGAAGCATCCCAGCTCTCATCACCACAGTCCTTTGACCTATTGGCACCATCTGTGCTACCTGCACCTCCTAATTCAACTTTTTCCTTAAACACAGCGTTAGGAGTGCCAGACAACAATACTAGACTACTTCCCGGTGGGTGTTAAGACTGGGCTCTTAACACTAAACAGAGGCCTGCACCGTTGCTTTCGAAGAGATTCCTCCTCAGTGAATGCAGACATGAGCTGGCTCCAGGACACGATTACCTTGGACAGGCAGGGGAGGTGATGGGGAAAAATGCTGAAGCAGGAGAAGATATTACTGAAGTGACATGCCTGCTGAGAGAGGGGTGTCTGCTGAGACCACATCTGCATGTCGAGGCTTTAGCTTTGCAGGGCAGTGTGCATTACCAGCTATGATCCTCACTGAGGTCTGTGGCCAAAAATGGCCCAGCTGGAGACGGGTGCAAGCCCCAGCCCTGATCCTGCAATATGAACCCTCTCATCTGCCCGCAAGCCAAAGGGCTCCTTCCCAACACCTCCTATCACTCCTGCAGCCCATGTGACTTGTGTGGGCTCAGAGCTCATTTTCATGATGGAACAGGGAGCAGCTGCAAACATCCCTCAGCACTAAAAGGAAGTCCTAGCACTGGCAAATTTAATTCAAATCTAAACCTCTAAATTTGGTTGCTTGCTATGCCAGGAACCTCTAGTTTGCACTATGCAAAGTGGAAATAGCATGCCACCATCACTGGCCAGGGCGACAGCACAACTAAGGTAAATGCAGCTGTGGGCACTGTGTTTCTGCTCTGTGGGATTGGAGGTCTGGAGACAGAACTCAATGAAACCCCACGTACAAGCTCTGCTCCAGAGGAGCAGATGCCTTTGCCGCTGTGAGCAGCAGGGTCATTCAGGGCTAATTCCCCCTTACCTAGAGACCAAGAGGAGATTATTATTAACAGCATTGCTGTAGCACCCAAATAGGAGCTAGAAACAACAGCCTCCTACACAGAGCCTGCTTGTTCTGCTAGGAGGGGCCAGCTAAAGTGGCTCTGTGGCAGGTAGATGCGGCACAGGAGACCTGGGCTGGAACATGGGTGGTACAGAATCTGCCTGTTTTGACCAGCCAGAGACTTAGATACGAGCTTATTGAGACCGGTTTTGCGCCAGCACCAAAATGACTGCTCAGCATTATGCCTACATTAAGCAACCCTGCAGTACATGAGAAAGAAGCCAGTTATCTTTATATATCTACTGTTATCAGCTCTACACAATACCTTCAAAATCTCATCTTAGCCTACATCTGCTAATATCTCAGAGGCCCCAGGCTTGAAATCTTGTAGTTAAGCTCTTCATACTGATAGCACCAAGGCTCAAATAGTGCATCTGACTTATGCCAACACCTTCCCAAACTACATGCTTAGACAACTGCCTTGCTTTGAAAAGACATTTTTTTAACATGTCTTTATCTTTTGCAGGGTAGCACCAGCACACCGCAGTCATCATTCGTCCAAATGCCAGGTGAGGTTTTCCTCCGCCAATAAAAACCTTCCGTGCAGGTTGGACAGTTGACATTGCTCCTGCCTCTTCTTCTCCAAAGGACAGAAAGTAAGCAAAGGAGCACTGGAGCAGGGCCACCCCTCAGAGAGAGCCCAGGAGGAAAGTAATTGAAAGAGTCAAAACAGAAACAGCAATTACAAAACAAAGGCCCCTGTAGGCTTGTATGAAATTCCCAAAGAGAGGAAAGAGAGATAATTAAAGCAGTTCCCACCTTTTTTTTGGTAGAGGTGCTACACAGAACACCTTCTTTTCCCTCTGTGTCTTCCAGTTTTCCCTGGAGCTAAAGAGAGAAGGTACAAAACCAGGAGCTGACCTGTTTTGCCCCTGGAGCTCTTGGGCAGGGAAAGTGGAGTGAGGCTGGAAGAGAGGCAGGTGGTTTTGCAGCTGTAACCCCATTCTCCTCCCCAGGAGTTGTAGCTGGCAAAGCTAACCTCCATCCCCCCGGCCTCATACTTGAAGTTTTCCAAAACACATTTGGTTTGCTGCATGTGGAGGTCATCAGCTGGATCAGGGCAGTCCGAGGTGCTAAAAGCACTTGGGCTGACACACCTGTTTCAAGGCAGGATTGACTCCTGCCCTGGGTGATGCTAGAGAAAAAAGGACTTGAGTTTGCACCTTCAGAGGTGCCCATAGCTCTATGGCTCCCCATGTGCTGCTGTTACAGTTTCACTTTAGCCAACCCTTTTTTCTGACCATGACAGGCTCGCCTACCATAGCTGGTTACTACAGCGTCAGGAGATCCTTCACAACCGAGTTGGATTTCCACAACACAAAGCAGTTTGTCAGTGATGTCTACTCATCCCCTCTAGGGTCCAAGCCCTTCTCATGCGATTCCTCTGCCACTCAGGGCTACTCGGCACTTCTGGACCCGTATCTCACCGACCAGTATGGGGATTACCGTGCTACTTCCCTCACAGCTGGTACCAGCTCCTTCTTCAGCCCTTCTGTGCCCCCTCTCCTGCCATCCTTCCCTAATGACACAGCGCATTTCCTACTAGTAAGTGAATCTATGGTTCTCAGTCACCCAATAAAAGATTACCCAATTTAAAGCTGGGGTTAAGTCAAGGGGACTCATGCAGGAAGGACGTGGCTGTTACAGGAAGCAGCCACAGCACAGCACCCAGCAGATGGGGCAGGGCTGAGGGGGAACTGTTTTTCACTTTGTTCCCACACTCCATCTAATTGTCTCCTCTTCCTGTTGGAGACCAGCACCTAAATTAACTACCTTCCCTGCTCCCCAAAACACCTACTCCATTAAACACCTTAAGTTTCTAGAAACATCTTTTGTTAGCTCTAGGCAGTGGCCTATCCTAAGAGCCAGTTCCATTCACACCCTCAGGGCAGAGCGCTTGCGCTCTTCAGGGTCAGGGCTGGTCAGTCCCACCAGGAGCCTGTTCCAGGCCTTGCCCACTATTCACAGCATGGATGTTTCCTTTCAACAGTTTTAAAACCAAATACTGCTCCAGAGCAACAGAAACCCTCATGAGTGTTCCCAGCTAGGCTCTGGGTATAGCTGAGCTTGGTGAAGCCAAGCTAGATATCCCGTGACCTCCAGGACAAGCTTTTATTCTTAAGGGTGTTTCTTGCCATCTCTCCCCCCTTCCATGCAGAGAGAGCCCTGGGAGCAGACCTCACCCGACAGTCTCAGCCAGTCGGATGGTGCGTGCTCAGACCCTCTGCAAGCACAGCCTGCCAGCGCCAGCTGCCTCTCCTCACATGAGTCTGGAGGCATTTCTCCATACCGAAGCTCAGGTTGGACCCCAGCCATCCCTGGAGCCCAGTCCTACCCTCTGCATCCTCTTGAAGATGTCCACTACTCCCCCAGCTATGCTGCCACCTCATCCTACTCCTTCTCACCATTCATGACTGTGGCAAATGACCTTACCGCCAGGATGAGTTACCTCTCGCCAGAGCAGCCCTCGGAGATGCCACCCCTTCACGATAACTCTGCCTGGGCAAAAGAGGATGGAAGTCCCATCTGGGGGACTTACGAAGGCCGGAGAAATTACTGATGACACAGAAGAGCTGGAGGAAAAGAAAAACAGACCATTACCAAAACAAAGTAATTGTATGCTTTTTCCTAAAGCTGGTCCTTCAAACAGAGGATGCTAACAACTTACAATGCTTTGTGCTCCGTTTAGAAATACAGTCACTTGGATATACCACATTTAGCTTATAGTGGTGCCTTCTAGTGCCTTATGAAAGTCATTGCTCACAGTCCCGCTGTGCTACAAGTAAAATACACAGCCTGAAAAATATCTGCACTCTATGGGCCTTTCCTACAAACAAGGGTCTCAGGTACCTCTTTTCAGATGCTGAGAACCTTAAACTACATCTACAGAGCAACATTACCAGAAGATATTTGGGTAGGCTGGGGAGCAAGGCAGGGGCTGGGGGAAGACCTCCTTAACAGCACAGAGCCTGTATAATGGTATCTGGTTACTTAGTGGCACACATGTATGTCCCTAATGCTAGCACGCTGTGCACACGTCAGTGTCTAGGGCAGCAGCTATGGCCAGAGCAGCAAAGGCATAGCATGTTTGAGCCTACAGCACAGAAGGTTACAACCAAATAAAGCTCACCGTGCTGTGCCAGGGCCTGGCAGACAGCTTAGGGTGTTGGCAGGGACTGTCAGGGCACTGTCCCCCCTGTTGATCTGGGCACGAGGAAGCCTTGCCATCCCTCCCACATGCAATGCACAATACACATCCTTCCCAATTCCCCTCTTGCCCTGAAGAAAACACAGAGCTCTTCCCCCTCTTGCCTACGCCAGATCAATACAAGCGAGGTGGCCCGAAGCCTTGTGTCAGTGGGCACAGGGCAGCCTGCTCCCAGCCCCTGGCCAAGAGGCACCCACCTGGGGCTATAACTGGGAGCAAGGCTGATGGGAAGTCTCAGTGCCATGCCGGGGCCCGCGGCCACTAGAGGTAGCTCTGCACACACAAACACACACGCAGAAGAGTCCTGCGCAACCCTCACAGATGCAGCCAGACCTGCCTGCAGCATCCACGCCCGGCGGAGGCTACCCCCTTTGGCCCAGCTCGTCCTCCAGCCTGGCACCCACAGAAGCAGCAACAAAAGCCTCGCTGAGGAAGAACAGGAGCTTTCCAGGCCCTGAGAGTGTGTGGTGGTGAGATGCTTCACGGCCCTCCTTGCCTTTTCTCTCATCAAATCCTGGGGCTGACGGGGCATTTGGAGCCTTCTCAGCACCCTCCAGAGATCACAAATGGCACCGGGGTCACAGGATCGGGCCCAGAGCATCGCTTCATGCCATGCTGCCTGCAAGCACCTCTCTGCAGGGGAACGTGGACTGGGGACACAGCACTGCACCTGGCAACAGGCAGCAATATCAGGCCACTGTAAGCAACACTGCAGAAAGCTGCCAAGTGGGCCAGGCTAGTCCTTCTACACAAAACCCCTTCTTTTACAGGTGTACCACCTAGCACCATCCCCAGCACCACTCTTCCT